ACATAAGTCCCAGCTAAAAAAAAGTTCCTCGTTGTTCCACGTTCACTTTTAGTGAAACAAAACCATTAAACTATAGCAAAGTAAACCCTACAGTATTTGCTGTAACTTCCTGCTCCTTAAGGAGATATTTTAAATTCATTTATGCATAGTTTTGTAAAATGCAACACCCGCCCGTCCCTTTTCAATTTAAAAACAGTTTTCGGACGTTTGTATAATAATATACGATCTAGTATTTACCTTTTATTTTGAAAATTAAAGAAGTCTAATCATAATATAATTTGGTAAAGAAAAAATTAAGCTTTAAAAGTAAAAAGAAAAGATTACATCTATTTTTAAAAATTCGCGAATCTGAAGCAAATAACGAAGCACTTCCTGAAATACTTATCGAATTTATCAAAAAATCCGAAATAATTCCTAAATAATTTCTTAAACTTGGTGAACTAAATAGAATTCTACAGATTTTTATTTTGAAAGTGAAAAATAAGCTTAAAAAATATTGTAGAAACTATAAAAAGTTTTTAAAGTACGAAAATAGTTGACTAAGAAAAAATCTCATTGATTAAAGTGTCTTTTCATCCTAGACCAGGAAGACCAGTTAAGAAATGGGGAAATCTTTGTGAAAGAAATAAAAGAGCAAAGATTGCAGATTAAGCTAATGAACACCATGTAGCTCTATCTCTTCTGCATTAAAGAGTGCTAAAGCAGCAGATGAAAACTAATTAGCTTATATTTTGAAAAGAACTTGTAAATGTGTTGATGTAGCTCAGATGAGAAGAAGTATTGATTCCTTGACTCAAACAACTACGAAACTAGAGAAGGTTCTTGCTCTAAAAACGCAAACTGACTTTAGTGATTTACAATACCAAATGTTGAGAAATTCATCCTTTTCTCGCAATGTAAAAATATATTCTAGTCCTAATAAGCTTGGGGAAGAAAAGCTGAAATGTTATCCTAAAGGTGTTCAATTTACTGAAATGTCAGCAAAATGCTCATTACAAAGTATGCTGAATCATGCAGTTACTAGGATTATAGATATGATTGGTTTAAAGGAAAGTTGTAAAGTTAAGATAAATAGAATTTTCAAACAAAAATTTGATAACCTTAATTTTACTGAAGAATCAAAGCAAGAAGATAGTCTTTTTAACACAGCAGTTGTACGTCTTCTGTTTAAAGTTGAAAACATTGACTTTTGGAAAAATTCTAAAATTGTAGACCTCTTCACCTGCAATATAATTAAAGAGACATCAGAGTTGTGCAAAAAAGAAGAAACTGATCTTCAAACTCAAATTAATCAGTTAAAACCCTTTTCAACAGAATTGAATATTGCTAGTGCAGTAATAACTATTAAGGTTACTTTAAATTTGATATGACAATGTTTGATGGAAAAGTAATAAATTCATTAACTGACACTGATAAAAGTCAACTCAGTCTTGAAATGTGTGTGGTTGTAAGTCCAAAGAGTTGAATGATATAGATTTAGTTAAAAAAAAGCCTGTTAATGAGAAAGCCCTTAAACTAGGTATTTCAAATTTGCACTGTTGGATAAGATTATTTGAATTCATCTTACATTTAGGTTATAAAATGGAAATCCAGAAGTTTCAAGCCAGAACTGAATAAGAAAAGCTTACTGTAAATTTAAAGAAGAATTTTATTAAATCAAAGTTCAGAGAAAAGTTGAGGCTCATTGTTGATCAGCCTAGAAGTAGGCTTTGGTAATAGGAATGATGGAAATATTTCAAGAAGAGCATTTTAGAACTCTTCGATTTTCTCTGAAATAACAGGGGTCGATATGGAAGTTATAAGGAGAATGCACATAGTCCTTATTACATTATCTTCTGGTCACCTTATCGATAGTAATTATTTTGAAGTTTATTGTACAGATACAGCTAAAATTATAGTTAATGAATATGGTTGGTATATAATGCCATACATAACATAATGCCAGTGATCACAAAATGTTGATACATGGTTGCTCCATGTATCAGCATTTTGTGATCAACGAAAGATCAGATGCACTACCTTTTGATTAGATCGGATCCAAAAATCTCAAGCATTTCATTTGTAAAACACAGGAGTTATCAAGGCAGAACTTTGCCTCCAGATGTAGTGAACTTATTAGTAATTTAAATTGTAAAAATATTTTAATATTCTGACTAGTTTATTTTTGTATTATAGATTGCGTTAAAAACTCATAACGCGCTTTGTTCCTCGTCTGTGCGCATTTAGTAAATTCGCACAGCGTTGAACGCGTGTGCGAGTGTTAAACGCGTGCGCGAGCGTTTGTGTAATAATAAAATAACGGTATAATTTAGGTCAAGAAGCTAAGTTTTTTACTGAAAATGTTATTTACAAATACAATTTCTCTAACGCGCGTTTTGACGCGTACATGTGCGTTATATGGGTAATAAGTGCATGTGAAAATAATTCTAAGTTACTAATTTGAATTCCTTGACCCCTCAAACCCCTATTTAGATGCATAGTGTAAGCTTAATGAACATGT